TCCTACTCAGTCTCAATGCGCTTCTTTCTTTCCTTCCAGTTGTAGAACTTCCACTGGGCCAGCTTTCCCATGGTTCTGAATGATAGCTGTCTGTCTTATAGTTGGTAGTTTCAATGTTGTCGTGGGAGGCAGCAGGCACAGGTCTATACCTTACGCCGCCCTCTTGGTTCTCCCCCAGGATTGTGGGCTTGTTTTGCTTCAACAAACAGAAATTTGAAAAGAAACTCCAAATCCTCGCCTTCAGAAAATCAATTGTAGCACACCCATTCAGAGTTCCAGCCCGCTTCCATTCCCTCCCAGGGTAGCCAACGCGGCCCCCACAATTTAAACCTTTTATTAAATGGGAGAAGTGGGAGGAATTAGAATGCCTGTTATTATTTATTAATTGTATTATTTTCCAAACGAACAACTGTAAGTCTACTTTCACCCCCACACTGCATAGTTTCTGATGAAAAGTCACACGTGGAAGGGAATAATAAGGCCTTATTTCCAGAGCAGTCTTTAAGCAGGGTTCATATAGGCATATTTCATCCTTTTTGTTTTTGGATTTCATATTCTTCAACATCTCAGCTCTTACAGTTATGTACTGTACCTAAGCCAACGTACAAAGAGCGACATCATGCAATTCCAGCCACAGTACCTGATTATAGTCACACAACCTACCATCTAGGACAGTGATGGCGAACCTATGACACGCGTGTCAGAGGTGACACGCGAACTCATTTTTTTGGTTGCTTTTTCTTCGTTAAATGGCATTTAAATATATAAAATAAATATCAAAAATATAAGTCTTTGTTTTACTATGGTTGCAAATATCAAAAAATTTCTATATGTGACACGGCACCAGAGTTAAGTTAGGGTTTTTCAAAATGCTGGCACGCCGAGCTCAAAAGGTTCGCCATCCCTGATCTAGGAGAACTGACCCAGTACAGTTTCTGAACCGCCCCAGTTAAAGACCTGTCAAAATACAACCCCATCTTGTGAGCCCAGTGTCTTGGGGGTGTTATTATATGTCCTGGAAGCCTAACTCTTCAGAGTAGGTCTTCAGTGAAGCATTGAACGATACTGCCAGCCTGAGCTTGCCAAGTGGTCGTTAGCGTGGAGATCTTAAAGTCTAAAATGACGTCTGGGTGCTTTTCATTTATTGAAACTCATTGCTACCTTTGCAGTGGCGTTGAAGGCTCTGTAGACAAGCAACTAATGTAGGTTAGTATTTGTAATCTGACAAAGTCTTGACCAAGACTCTTCAAGTATCTACGAGCCTCCTGTCAAAGCAATGAAATATTTTTTAATGAAGTTAAATAGAGTTTGCTTTTGAGACAGAGTCATTGCGTTGTTATTAGCCTGCAGTATAGTATTAACATACCTTTATTGTTCATTGGGAAGTCCATCTATTTGTGTGTTTCTGTCTGTATGGCAATATTCGCTTTTTTGTGCTGATCAGAACTGAATCCATAGTCCCTCCAAGAGATTCCTTCATATGGTTTGTGAGTATTTTCTTCTGTTCTCTAGATTGCCTTTCATTTCGTTTATTACGGTTGTGCTGTGAGGAAGCTTTTTTCTTTATTTGTTGCAGTCTGGACTGTTTGTTTTCTCTGTTTTGTCTGGTGGTTGGTGTCACATCCAGAAATCCTGTCCAAAACAAACCTCCAAAACTTTTTCTCTAGGTTGTCCTGAGGAGTTTTAAGTTTGAGCGCTGACATTTAATTCTGTCCTGCAGGTTGAGTTACATTTTATCTATGAGGGCCAATTTTGTTGTTTTACATGTGAATGTCGATTTATACCTCCACCATTCATTGAAGAAACCATCTATTTCTTCTTCGGTGTCTTCCAGCTTTGTCAAAGATGACTTGAAAGTATGTGCCTGGGTTTATTTCTGTGTTTTTTTGTTCTGTCCTACTGATCTATGTGTCTGTGTTTCTCCAATAATACACTGTTTCCTTGTTTTGTCTTTGTAATAAACTGGTACCACCAGCTTATTCTTGCTCAAGATTGCTTTTGTTAGTGGACATCCTTTGGTTTCATACATTTCAAGATTCCCTTTTCATTTCTTTGAAAATACTATTGGAGTTATCATTGGGATTGCATTCAATCTGTAAACAGCTTTGTGTACTATAGATACCTTCACGATATTTCTTTTCAAATTCATGAACACAGGAAGTCTTTCAACTTGTGTTTTCTTCCATTGCTTTCATCACTGTATTATAGTGTTCAATGTACAGATGTTTTACCTTTTGGTCGAATTTATTCATATTTTATTTATTTTCTGATGCTTCTGTAAATTTGACGACCTTCATTTTTCTATCTAAAATGAATTTATTATTAGTGTGTGGAAATGGAACTAATGTTTGTACGTTTATTTTGCATCCTGTCACTTTTCTGAATTTAGTTCTTTATTCTTTTATCTTCACCCATGTAGTGTAAATATTTTTTCCATTTATTTTCTTTTAGAGAGAGAAAAATAGGAGAGAGCCAGAGAGAAAGAAACATCGATTGGTTGCCTTCCACATCTGCTGCTACTGGTAGCGGTATCAGACCTGCAACCAAGGTACCTGTCCTTGACTGGGAATTTAACCCATGACCCTCCAGTACACAGGCCAGCACTCTCACCTGAGCAACACAGGTGTATTTATTCTATAAATTATATTAAAAATATATTTTTTTATTGATTTTAGAGAGGAAGAGGAAGAGAGAGAGATTGAAATATCAGTGATGAGAGAGAGTCATTGATGGGCTGCCTCCTGTGTGACCCACACTGGTGATTGAGCCCTCAACCTGTGCACGTGCCCCTATGGTTGCAATATCAAGAAATTTCTATATGTGACACGGCACCAGAGTTAAGTTAGGGTTTTTCAAAATGCTGACACGCCGAGCTCAAAAGGTTCTCCATTACTGTCCTAGTTCATGGGTCGATGCTCAATCACTAAGCCATACTAACCATCCTTTATTTATTGATTTTAGAGACAGGAAGGGAGACAGAGAAAGAGAGAGATGGAAACATTGATCTGCTGTTCTACCTATCTAAGCATTCGCTGGCGCTCCCCTGCATGTGCCCTGATGGCGGATCAAACCCACAACCTTGGTGCATAGGGACCACACACTCACCAACTGAGCTATCTGGCCAGGCCTCTGAATTTGTATATTAATTTCAGAAGCTCATAGTGGCATTTTGACAAATTTCTCTATGGAGTGTCATGTCACCTGCTAACATCAACATCTCTTATGATGAATTGTGGTTCATAGTGTCAAGTGTAATGTCTTTCATTTCTTTACAATTTATTTGAGGCTTGGTTTGTTTGTTTGTTTTTTTCTGCTAGTTTAGTTAAAGTTTTTTCCAATTTTGTATCTTTCAAAAAATACCTGTTAGGTATTATTGTATTTTGTCTTTTCTCCTTTTATTTTTGTTTGTTCTAATATTTATTGTTTCTTTCTTTTCCAACCTTTGGGTTTACGTTCTTGTTTTGTTTCTAGTTTTTCTGAGGTGACAGTATTTTTGGAGATTTTTTTTTTCATAATGTAGGTCATTTATCCCTATAAAATTGCCCCTTAGAATTGCATTTTCTGAATTTTATACATGAGCTGTGGTAGGCTGTCTTTTCATTTACTTTGTCTCTATACCTTTTTCAGTTCTCTTTTTCATTTGGCTACCCTTGAATTCTTATTTATTTTTTATATTCAGTTTCAGATAGAGAGGAAGAGAGACGGAGAGAGAGATAGAAACATCGATGATGAGAATCATTGATTGGCTGCCTCCTGTATGCGCCCTACTGGGGATCAAGCCCACAACTCGGGTATGTGCGTTTTACCGGAATCAAACCTGGGATCCAAGGGTTGCAATCGAAGGCCTATGCTCTGGCCACTGAGCCAATCTGGCTGGGGCCATTCTGTGGTTATTTTGGGGTTTTTTTTGTTTTTTTAAAATATATTTTATTGATTTTTTTTACAGAGAAGAAGGGAAAGGGATAGAGAGTTAGAAACATCGATCAGCTGCCTCCTGCATATCTCCCACCGGGGATGTGCCCGCAACCCAGGTACATGCCCTTCACCGGAATCGAACCTGGG